TGATCATCTAGCTTCTTTGCTGGCTTTTGCTGTGATGCTTGGTCATACCCAGGAGCTCACCTGGCAGAAATGGGCATTTGGGGAAGATTCTTAAGCCCTACTAAGCATTCTTAAGCCCTACTAAGAGAAGACTGTCACTCCATGGCACAACCACTCTTAGGAGGTATGATCCTGTTTCTGCAGGTGCGGGGTCATGTGAAATAATGAGTAATTGAAGACTCCTAAGTGCTTAATGAACAGGGTAAGTTGGAATTGTTGGCCTGATCAGGAGGACTGAGTGGTATGGGCTGTGAGTGGCTCTCACACTGGGCAAGTTCAGACAGTAGGGCAGCAACTGAATCTGAACTAGAAATTCAGTATTTGCCCTAGGTTATATTGGAAGACAATCCAGTGCACTCCAATCATTAAGCAGATACCTTAAATTAATCAGTGGATAAGAGACTGCTTGCCAGGCTTTGTGGGTACGTGATTGTGTTCATGGACCCAGTTCTCAAGAATTGCATTCCTTGAGGAAGATGTGTTCCTGTGAGTAACTTTGGTTCTAATAAAATGAGGTGTGATGAAGGTCTTTTGAGAGGATGGTGTCCTGGAATGAGTGGAATGGGTAGAACCAGGGCACATTTGAGGGGCTTGTACTAGCAGAGAACAGCTATATTTGAAGACTCAGCTTGAGGATTGGATGCCTTAGTCAAATGAAGGAATAAGATAAAGCCCTTAGCATCAAAGGCAAATATGAAAACACCCTCAAAAAGAATTTCTTTCTTTCTTTTTTTTTTTTTAAGACAGGGTTTCTCTGAGTAGCTTTGGTGCCTGTTCTTGGCACTTACTCTGTAGACCAGATTGACCTTGAACTCAGAGACCTACCTGCCTCTGCCTCCTGAGTGCTGGGATTAAAGGCATGTGCCACCACCACCCGCCCCCCCTCAAATTCTTAACTACTGCACGTAATTGTCAGATCACTTCCTGTCATATGCTCTCTTAAAAGGTTGGTGTAACATGAGGGCCAGCTTGTTGGGGTTTCTGTCCCACCCAGTACCCCAACAAGCCAGCAAGTCCCAAGGAAAAAATCACACACAGGACTCCATAACATTATAAACTGATTGGCCCTTAGCTCTGGCTACTTATTAGTTCTTATGACTTATCTTAACCCATTATTCTCATCTATGTTAGCCATAATGGCTCCGTACCTTTCTCAGCTGGGCAGCTTACATCTTGCCTCTTAGGTGGTCTGGACAGGAGTGGCTGAGGGAGTTTCTTCCTCCCTAGCCTTATCCTATTCTCATTGCCCCGCCTCTACTTCCTGTCTGGTTGACCCGCCTATACTTCCTGCCTGGCCAATCAGCGTTTTATTAAAATACATGATTGACAGAATATAGACAATTCTCCCACACCAGGTTGGCTTGCTAGCTTGGCATATTGGTACACACCTTCTATCCCAGCACTGAGGAGGCAGAGGCAGTCAGATATCTGTAGCAGGCTTTCTTGGACTCCCAGCCCCCAAATCATGACACAGAGATTAATTATGAATGCTCAGCCTTATTTTAAAGTTATTTCTAGCTACCTTTTTAAATTTAAATTAACCCATTTCTATTAATCTATATGCTGCCCCAAGGCTCATTTACCTCATGTATATACTTAATGTCCATCCTGCTTTCCTGCTTCCTCTTGTCTGTCTGGCCCACCTGTCTCTCTTTTGCCTAGCTGGCCATTCAGCTTTTTATTAGGCCAGTCATGTGCCTTACGCTGCAAGTTGAAACAGCAACACATCTTTACATAGTTAAATAAATCTTCTATTTCACAACAGATGTCTGTGAGCTTAAGGCCAACCTGGTCTATGAAGAGTTCCAAAATAGCCAGGGCCACACAGAGAAACCCTGTCTTCAAAAACAAACAAACAAAACAAAACAGACAAGAAAGAATAAAAACAAAAAAGATTGGCTAACTTCATTGTGAAGTTGTAATTTTTTTAAACATCATGCTTTTGCAGTCGACTGTGAAGAGCTATCACAAGCAGTTATGTGTGTGTGTGTTTTGTAGCCATTTTTTATCCTATAACTATTTTATATATGCTTTTGTTTTTTTGGTTTTCAAGATAAGGTTTCACTATGTAGTCCTTGGCTGTCCTGGAACTCATTATGGAGACCAGGCTAACCTCGAGATCCACCTGCCTCTGAGTGCTTAAAGGAATTAAAGCTGTGTGGCACCACCACCCAGCTATTTTGTATACATGGCTATATTCAGTTTGAATGTGCTTACTTGTACAGTTGGGTTGCAATTTTCCATTTTCACTATTATAATTTCTCTGTGTTGCTCTGGCTATCCTGGAACCTACTTTGTATACCAGGTTGGCCTTCAACTCACGGAGATCTGCCTGCTGCTGTCTCCTAATTAAAGGTATGGGATTTTTTTCCATTTTCACTATTAGTTATGACACTGTTACAAACATCTTAGCACATAAAACTTTTGTATTTGGAGATATTAGGAGAAAATCCTAGACCTGGAGGGATTCACTTAAGGCCTGATTACATTTTCTTTCAGATCCCAATACAGACAGCTTTATAGCTTCAGTCTTCAGTTGGTTCCAGGTCCATTTTGCTATTTCTTCCAATTATGGAATCTTTTATTTATTTATTTGTTTGTTTGTTTGTTTATTATATATACAGTATTGTCAGTACTCTTCTTGCAGGCCAGAAGAGGGCATCAGATCTCATTACAGATGGTTGTGAGCCACCATGTGGTTGCTGGGAATTGAACTCAGGTCTTTGGAAGAGCAGGCGGTGCTCTTAACCACTGAGCCATCTCTCCAGCCCCTGGAATCTTTTTTTAAAATTTATTTTATGATATTGGTCTATGCGAGGATGCCAGATCCACTGGAACTGGAGTTACAAACAGCTGTAAACTACCATGTGGGTCCTGGGAATTGAACCCAGGTCTTTGGAAGAGTGGCCAGGGCCCTTAACCTCTGAACCATCACTCCAGCCCCCACCTGTGGAATCTTTTCACTCATGTTCTCCCTCTCAAATGGTCTCTTTACATAGCTTCTACATCAAATTCAAGAGCCTTCTCTGTCTGCTGGGATGGCAGGCATGTGTTATTGCACCTGGCTTTCCTTCTCTTGAGTCAAATAGATAATTGGTCTCTCTGCTTATTGATTTTCATGAGCATTTTTTTGTTACTTGCTTGATGTTGCGCAACTTACTGAGTTTCTTGAGCTGTTTGCTCCTGACAGTCTGAGACTGGAAAATGTGCCAATTCGAGTTCAGCCGGAGCAGAAAGGTAAACGGTGAAGGGAGAAGACATCCAGTTGGGTGAAGTGAAGAAAAGATTGGATTTTACTGAGTGCATTATGGGTGCCTTGAGTGTCATTTGCTTTGATTTTGAAAGCTGACTTATGGTCACGTTAGTGGCACCCATATACCTTGTTCATAACTAACAACTCTAATTGTACTTAAGGCCTGCTCAGCAAGAGGGAAATCATGCTTGATACTGGAAACCTAGCCAACTCCCCGGGGCTAGTGAAGTCATGGGTCACTTTACTAAAACAGCATTATCCCTGGTTATATCCAAAATATGTATCCTATACCCACAGATAATGTGTAGTTTTCACCCTTCATCAAAAAACCTCTTTCACAGGTGGAGATTATTACAGAAAACTGCAACTAATCAAAATGCAGAGTTATAGTTCAGTCCCAACTGATAAATCTACAACACAACTCCTGCACTTAAGGCTTAGGGATCGTTGTGGAAGAGGGGAAGGAGAGATTGTAATAACTAGGGAAACAAAGTTTGCTGTAAGATTGTGTCTCCTAGAAATGTCAGAGAAGCTACATCCATGAAGTCTAACCAACATGGCTGCCTAACTGTGGCTTGAACAAGGACAACAGGAATTCTCAGAGCTGGAGAAACAGTCTTCCTGAGGAAAGAGCATAGCACTTGGTTATCCCGTACCAAATAGCCTTGAAAACATACTATTAACATACAAACTGAGCAGGTTGTATTCATATATCTAGGAATTGCGTATGTAACAACAACAAAAAGAGGCCATGAATTTTGGGGGGGGTGGAAACATGAGAGGGTTGGGAAGGGAGAACTGGTGTAATTATCTAAAAAAAATTATAATTAAAATGATAGGTAAGAATAAAAGTGAAAAAGTAGGAGCAATGCTCAGAGAGACCGTTTCTATTTATTAGGTTTTTTGGGATAGGGTTTCTCTGTGTAACAGCCCTGTCTTGAAACTCGCTTTATAGACCAGGCTGGCCTCAAACTCAGATCCGCCTGCATCTGTTTCCCGTGTGCTGGAACTAAAGGAGTGCCACACCATGCCCGGCTAAAGGATAGGAGTATTACAGGGGGTAATAGGCAAGGGTGACTAGGTTTCTCCGTAGTAAATCAACAGGTTGAACAAGGATTGTACGGGAGAGCAGGAAGGAAAGTCCTTAACCGGCCCAGCACATAATTGCAGGTGATTCATAGAGGGTGGCTAAGTAATGGCGGTTGGTTTTTCAGTGACTGGGGAGTCATGCAGGAGCGTTCTTTCAGGGTGATCTCCAGAGATGAAGAAAATCGTTAGCCCAAAGCAGTAGCTAGAGATGAAGATGGTTTGCCTCTCCCCACCATCTCCCTCTCTAAATTTTTGTAAGGATTAGTCAATATTTTGAGGCTTAAGTGAAGCACTGAGCAAACTCAACTGCAAGACAAGGGCGCATTAACTCGATGGAGTGCAGCCTGTCGGCTTTCCAGGGCATTTGAGTCACCTCTTAGGCCCTCACGCCTAGGTCCTGTTCCTGGGCGGTGGCGGTGGCGTTCGGCTTCCCTTAGTAGCTGCGGGCTCCGCCCACCACCGTACCCTTTCCCGTAGACCCTTCCGTAGGGCTCGGCACACTAACTGCGGAGCCTCTGCGCTGCACTGTCACGTTGGTCCCGCCCATAGGCGGAGCCTCTGAGTGGCGCGCTGGGCGCCTGCGCAGCCGCCTGTGACCGGCGGAGCACACGTCCTTCCGGGGGCGCGAGTGCCAGTTCGTGAGCGTGCGCGTTCTCGCCGCCACCGGTGCCGCTTCCGCCGTCCTCTGCTGCTGCTGCCGCTGTCGCCGCCCCGGATCCTCAGGCAGAGCAGTGGGACGGCCGGCTGTCCAGCAGCACCGCGGTAGGGAGAACGGAACCGCGGAACCGGTGGACAGGCGGGCGGGCGACAGGTGAGCTCACTGCCGGGTGGCCCTCAAATTAGGTGGGGCCGCGGGAGCGGGGTGTAGGAGACTGGAGCGGGGTGACGGCGCCGCAGAACGAGGTGAAGGCTGCTTTCAGCCGGAAATGGCGGCCGGCCTTCAGTCGCGCTGGGTCCCGGGCGCTGCTAGGCCCCACTCGGCCCCACTCGACCTTGCACACGGCGAGGCTGCGCGGGGACGAGGCTTTCCGGGCCAACCCGGGTCCACACGCGCGGCCGCCTCCGCGGCACCCGGGACGCGGAAACTGCTGTAGGGAGGCGGGCAATGGAGGCTCCGAGGCTTGTTCACAGCCCTGGGGCTCGGAAGATTGTCTTATAGTTGTCAATTCCAAAAGCATTTACCTGTAAAAACATATTTTATGTGCTTCACAACGGCATTTTAAGAGGCGCTTTTGTGTAATGCTGTTAAGGGAGAGTTATTAAAAACTCATCCGTTTAGTCTCCAACTTGCGTTATGTGACTGGATTAAAAACTTGTTTTTCCTTGTGCCTAGATGATTTCTCCGAACTCTCTTAAGTGCATCTTCGGAAAAAGAAAGCAAAGTAGCTTTGTTTTCCGATTGGACTTAAGGAAAATTGGGTCGCCGTTTGTTTGATTTGCAGCTGATCATACTTTTAGACAACATATCTGAATTGCTAGTGAGTTGTCTGTTTCAAAAAAAAGAAACAAAACAGAACACTACTTAATATCAGAAAGAATTATATTCACCTATTTATTGTCATGGTTACCTAAAGACAGAACTAACGGTTGTAGGATAATTTTTTTCATTTACTTGCTTTTTTTTTTTTTTTTAAGAAACTGGTCTGTTTGGTGACATTAAAAGCCATGGTTTAAGTGCTTCTGGACAGTTTCTAACTTATTAGGACTGCGTTACCTGTATCAGTGTTTTCTTTATTTTTGGGAGTGGGGCCGGTGCTTCGAGACAGGGTTTCTGTGTAGAGTTGGCTGTCCTGGAACTCTAGACTAAGCTGGCCTTGAACTCTGCCTGCCTCTGACTCCTGAGTGCTGGTACTAAAGGCCTGTGCCACCACTGCCTGGCGTTCATCGGTGTTTTCATGCTTGGGTTGGCCTTGTTTATGGGGGCTCTGAATACAGACCCTTTTGGGAAGAGGTGGAACATCACTCCTTGGAGAGTGAGTTCCCCACTTCACACTCCTGCAGCCTCCTTGCTAATCTATGAAGAAATTTACGTGCTTAGTCCTTGATTCTTTCTTGAACATTCACTTTCTGTTCTGTAAGACATTCTTAGATTCTACTACTTAAAATTTCAGTTCTGCCACTTCCCATTTTCCCCTTCCCTTCCTTGCTTAATTTTCACGCAGCACTTGCCTCTTAATGTATTAATTAATAACGTATTTAACATTTTTTTCTAGGTAAGGTTTTGTTTTGTTTTTTAGAGTAGTCACATAGTATGCCCAGTAAGTATTTATTGAATGAATGCAAATGAACTCAGTAGCAACTGGGCTAGGCCTTCTCACCAGGAGGTCAGTCAGTCAGTCAGTACTGACACTTTAGAGGCGCTGGGTTCTGGGAAGATGTACAGGGAAATTTGTATTCTCAAGGACAGACCCACCAGCTTTCCTCTGTCCGTTGAAAACAGTACAGTCAGTTAATAGGATATTAGAAAGGTGCTTAGGACTTTCCTGTAAATTTCTTGCAAGTTTTGATCAGTGATTATTTGAAAGTTAAAAGCTTTTTAAAAGTCAAATATGCCACTGGTTAAAAAGTAAAAAAGCTCTTAGAAAATTTGTCTTTGGTTATTTGTTGGAACTTGAGGTTACAGAGAGATGAAGGGTGAAGTCATCCGATTCTTATTTCTTTTGAAGAAGTGTTTTGTTTTTGTGAACTGGATCTTACTACATAGCTGTAGCTAGCCTGCAGCTTGTGATCCTCCTGCTTCAGCCTGGCAGAGGACTTGAATCATAGGCATTTACTGTCATACCCGTGCAAAAGAGTGAGCAGCTACTGATGCCCTCAGTTGGAAGCCCATTATTTGGGGTGCTATGACAACCCAGGAGACTTCTTTGTGACTGACAGACCCTGGAATCCTAAGGTTTTTGCTTCCTGTCCATCTAAGCTTAGAAGAATATTTAGATTTTTCTGTATTTTTGAACAGTTCTGTTAGTGTGTGGTTCAGTGTTGGATACAGGTTGCACAGTTCTAGCCACTTTTATCCAAGAGCGCATAGGAGAGCATGATGCTTCTGGACATAGTTGTAGACCCACCCTGACAACCTGCTATGCTCAAGATCTAACTGAATAAATCAGACTTGAAACGTCAACGGAATTCAAGGTTTCTAAGCCAGATTCTTCCGTTCGTTGACTATAGCCTAAAGTATCCCATAATCTGCCGGTTATGTGTCTTTAGGGTCCAGGTGCATGATGCTCATGGGTGTTTGTTGAATAAATAGCTAAAATGCAGCAAAGCTGGGGCCTTTTTTTTTTTTCTTTTTTCGAGACAGGGTTTCACCATAGCTTTGGAGCCTGTCTTAGAACCAGCTCTTGTAGACCAGACTGGTCTCAAGCTTACAGAGATCTGCTTGCCTCTGCCTCCCGAGTGCTGGGATTAAAGGCGTGCACAACCTCTGCCTGGCTGAAGCTGGGCTTATTTTAAAAGTTTGCTTCTGAAAACAGAAAGTGAGGTAAACATGTAATACTGTGGGCAAACTGTATCCGCAAATGAAAGCAGTTTTTCTCTTGTAAATAAACAGACTCCTGAAATTTTAGGGAACTGGCTAGGGAGCTGTTTGTATGGGAATGGAGCACAAGTGAGGAGCCTGGTGTTCCTGGGTGACTCCTGGAAGTTATTAAACATTTAAAAAATGTAGTCTTCGGGGCTGAGAATGTAGATCAGAGGAGAGTGGTTGTCAAGTATGTGCCAGGCCCTAGATTTGAACTCTACACCTCAAAGAAAAAGTAAAAAGTTGCATTCTTAAAAATGAGGCTTATTATTCTTGTACTGTATACAATCTGAGTGATGCATTCAAGGCCAGTGGCCTTTTGTCAGTCAAGCTTCCTACTCTTGCTATCCTTCCTCCCTCTTCTCTGAATCAGCAGAATGTGCTGGATTACCCTTCCTGAAAGAGGACAAGGCTAGAGTTCACAACACCAGGGTTGCTTCTGTCTCTGAGGCTCTGTACTCTATAAAAAGAGGGAGATGATTCCCACCTCACCTGCCTTTTGAAGCAAAGGAAGGATAAGTAGGATATTTTTCTGATGACTTCCTAAATAGAAGTGACAAAGATTCTAAAAATGGTAATAGCCTTATTTTGTGAAAATATCTACCCCTAAAACATCCTTAATTGGGCTACTGTGCCAGGCCTACCTCCAATGAAGGCAACCCTGACGAGGATTAGCACTTAGTCTGTTAACTGGCAACTAAACAGGAAGATTTAAGGATTAGATTACTCAACAACCTTCGGTGTGGATTTTGCCTTCTGACACTTTGCATTAACTTTGAGTGTATTTATTAATGAAAAGTGTGTGTTCTTCATTCATGACATTTAATAGGTTTTTTTTTTTTTTTGGTAGTTTGGTGTGTGTGTTGTGTGGGTATGTGGTTTTGGTGTGTGCACACAGAGGTAAGACTAGAATATTGGGTGTCTTCCTCTGGGTATTACTTATTGCCTTGAGTCAGGGCCTCTCAGTGACCCAGAAGCTCCTTAAGTTGTCTGGCTAGTGAATTTATAGGATCTTCTTGATTCTGCTCCCAGTGCTCGGGTTACAGGTACAGAAAACTATGCCAAGGTTTTAAAGTGAGTCCTGGGATTCAAATATGACTTCATCTTTGCAGAGCAAATGCTCTTACCCACTGAGCCATCCCAGTCCTCAGAATAAGTTTTTACAAAATAATGGCTTCAAAATTTTGAGTTTCTCAAACATTGATATTTTATATCAAAATTATTGATTATAGAAATGAAATGATCTCATTCTTTAAAGAAGTAGAACGAGGCCAGTTTTGGGAGAAAATTGAAAGTTTCATGACCAGTTTTCTCTCTACTAATCTGTATGCAGTTTTATTTCATTCCATAATTACACTACATTTTACTTTTTTTGTTTTTTGAGACAAAGTTTCTCTGTAGCTTTGGAACCTGTCCTGGAAGTCCCTCTGTAGATCAGACTGGCCTCAAACTCACAGAGGTTTCCCTGTCTCTGCCTCCCGAGTGCTGGGATTAAAGGCATGTGCTACCACTGTCCTACTACCCTACATTTTTCCCAAGTAACATTTAGTTATTGGCAGAGAACTTAGTTGTTTATTTCTAGACATTTTTTAAATTGGGGGGTGGGTTTGAGACAGGGTTTCTCTGTGTAGGCTTGGCTGTCCTGGAACTCACTCACTATAGAGGCTGGCCTCAAACTCAGAGATCCTCCTGCTTCTGCCTCCCCGTGTGTTGGAATTACAGACATGTGCCTCCTTCATCCCCCTCCACCAACTATTTTTTTTTAAATAATTTATTTAATTTTAAGCACATTGGTGTGACGGCGTTAGATTCCTGATCCAAACTGAGTTACAGACAGTTGTGAGCTGCCATGTGGGTGCTGGGAGTGTTTGAACCTGGGTCCTCTGGAAAGGCAGCCAGTGCTCTTAACTGTTGAGCCATCTCTCCAGCCCCTCCACCAACTATTTTTAGACAGTTTAAACCCAACTAATATTCTTAGGTTTTTGTGATGTATTATGTTCCTTGATTCTGTGTAAGTGAATGTTACTCATTATCCTGAATTGTTGGTGCTGTTATTGTCAGCTTAATTGCTAAACATTGAGACTGTGCATGCGCACGCGCGCACACACACACACACACGTTTTACAGTATAAAGTGTACTGAATTTTATTTTTATGTGTTCTAAAGAATGCTTGCCTATTAGCTATAAGGTTACAGTCCTGGTGAGTCAGAGGATGGGAATGAGGATTTGCTGGGTGATGGTATCAGGTGTGCCCGGTCAGGTTAACTCAGGAAAGAAGTGTGGCCATCTTAGAAATCTTCCTTAGATGGTTGATCTTTTCATCAAGTTGAATGCGTTCAGTGAAGAACAGAATCAGATACCTTATGGTATTGTTGATAGAGTCACCCTTAACAGGTGGTAGTCAAGTGCCCAGAAGATGTAAGACAGCAGATCCCTCATCTGACCTCTGCTGAGTGAAGGTGAGGTGGAGGTGCGGGCAGAAGTGGCCTGAGTTTTCTTAAGGAGAATGTGCTGTTACCTCCCCTTATTTTCTCTTTTTATAGAAAGGAATTAGCAGGACTGTTGAGTTTCTTTGCTAAATAGAAGTGCATTTGTTAAATAGAAGTGTTAAATCTCAACTGCTGGAAGCAGGTGTTTTCTTCTAGTAAAATCTGTCAGTATGGCACAAAACATAACGTATTTGCTAGTTGTCCTAGCTACCTTTAGTCTCTGCAGTAAAGAAGTGGAAGCAAATATTTATCATTGTTTTGCTGTGCCTGAGAACTTTTGGTTTGCACAGGTTTCCTTCAGCTTCAGAAGGATTTAGATCCTTTAAAGAAGCTTTAGATCCCCATTCCATGCTGGAAAACCTAGACTCAGCCTTTGTATTACGGGGAGGGGTGGTTAAACAGGATCTATATAGCTTAGAACTTTTGATCATCATGCCTCAGCCTCCTGAGTATTAGGATTATAGGTATGAGTTCCCAAGCCCAGCAATGGAGGAATCTCTTTTCAAAAGCATATACCTGAGCTTCTTGCTGTACTATTTAATCTACAATGTAATTCAGTTTAAAAAAAAAAAAACTTAAATAAAATGGTGAACTCATCACAGATTTGTGTCGCTTCATTCAAAGAGTAGACTCAGCCATGACTCCACTTGCTTTTGCTTTTGGAGAGTCATGGACACAGTGATCTTGGTAAGGTACCTTTACTTGTCTAATTGCTGGGACAGGAGAGAGTGGGGACTTGGAGCAATGTTCACTTGGGACATTTGCTTGAGATCCCACTCCTAACACTAAACTATTAAACAAAACCATAGACAAGCTAGTTTGAATAGACTTTGAGCAAAGAAATGATTCATGAATTGGGCAGCACTCTGAACCAGTAAAAATGCAGAGAACTCTACCCAGCAACTAGGCAGGTGGTATTCATATACAGGAGAGAAATTGTGGAACAAAGAAACAGTTTGATTGGTTATAACTCAATTTCAGCATTATCTTTTTGGGGTATTGGGTGTTTTAATACTTACCCCTTTGAAATTTGGTGTGTCTTTTCAGTTTGTCATGTTTCAGTTGTTGTATCTGATTTTAGGTTACTTACATGCTAGATTTGATGTGATCGCTTGGTTTCCAGCAATAGTTGCAGGTAGGCAGTCACTCTAAATGCATTTTCATTTGCTACTTTAAGATCATCCTCAAGTGGAATATACTGGCCAGTTATGTATCCAACATGAATTTCTCCTAAGAGTAGCCTCAGGCTAGGGTATAAGGGCAGAATGCTGATGCCATTTTTTTATTTGCGAAGGTTGAGGGGATGAAACAGTCTTTCTCTGTAGCTTTGGAGCCTGTTCTGGAACTAACTCATGTAGATCAGGCTGGCCTTGACTCACAGAGATCCACCTTCCTCTGCCCCGATTGCTGGGATTAAAGACATGTGCCACCACAGCCTGGCTCTGATGCTACTTTTTATCAGTTATGTCTCAGAATGTATTACATTAAAATACTTTGGCACGTGCCTTTAATCCCATCACTCGGGAGGCAGAGGCAAGCGGATCTCTGTAAGTTTGAGACCAGCCTGGTCTACATAGCGAGTTCCAGGACAGGCTCTAAAGATAAACAGAAATGTCTTATCTCAGAAAGTAAGAAAGACAAACAAAATACTTTGTGTCATCTATAGTATTTTATGAATTCCAAGGTAGGTATTGTATGTCTTAAGCTTCAGCATGTTTTGGGATCTGCCCTATTGATACATAAGTCCATTATGCAGTGAGAACTAGACCATGATCAGGGTGAATGGATCATTCAGTTGACAATATCTTAGAATGAACGAGCATTTGCAGTGCTCTGAAAATATGTCAAAAATGTTTAAATAGATGTTGTAGTCTATACTGTTCTAATAGAATTTTTGGTTTGCTGTGTTTTCGACACAGTTTTGCTATGTAGCCTAGATTGACCTTGAATTTGGAATTTACAACTTTAGCATCCCTTCAGGACAGATTACCGTATATACTGCCATGTTTACCATCAGGAGTGTTTTTATAAGGCTATGTGTTATTTGTAGTTACAGATTTGGATGTTACATATCTTAGTTTTGTTTTCTGTTGCTGTGCTAAAACACCCTAGCAGAAGCAATTTAAGAGAGAAGGGGTTTATTTGGCACAAAATTTGAGGTTACAGTCCATTTTTTTTTTAATCATGGTGGTAGGAACGTGAAGCAGCTAGTCGCATTATATGCACAGTCAAGAGTAGAACGCATGAATTAATGCATGCTGGTATTCAGTTCATTTTTTCTTTTACGCAGCCCAGATCCCATGCCTTCAGGAATGATTCTTGTTTTCCTGTAGTCAGGTAGGTTCTTAATTTTGTGACCAATCACAATGCCATGTCACTTGAAAGATGCTGATCTTACTGTGTTCTAAGTTATTGGCTTCCTCATACTCTCATTGCCAGCTGATATTCAAGTGTTACAACGTGGATTTTAGTTTAAAAGTTCCTCCAGAAACATCATTGTGTTTCAGTTTTACTGATTGATTGATTGATTATTGTTGTTGTTTGTTTCCAGACAGGGTTTATCTGTATAGCCCTGGCTGTCCTGTATCTCACTCTGTAGACTAGGCTGGCCTTGAACTCATAGAGATCCACTTGCCTCTGCCTCCTGAGTGCTGGGTTAAAGGCATGCACCATTACCACCCAGCTAGTGATTTTATTTTTAGCAAAGCTATTCTTCTATAATATGAGCCAAATGTTATAACACAAATAATAAAAACCCAGAGACAGATATTGGGGTTCAAGCCAAAAGATCAGAGAAGCAAAGCAGCCAACCACTAGAGAGCTCTTACCTTTACGAAATCTTCAGAGTGAAAACGAGAGTGATTTCCTGTCTCATCCTGCCATGTATTCTTCGCTAGTGCTAATATTAAAGGTGTGCACCACCACTGCCCAGCCTCTATGACTAACTAGTGTGACTGCTGGGATTAAAGGTGTGTGCCACCACTGCCTAGTCTGTATGACTGACTAGTGTGGCTAGCTTTGCGCTGACCTTCAGACAAGCTTTATTTATTAAAATACAACTGAGATATCACTACATTTCCCCTTTGTTGTCTAAAATAAAAAAGAAGGCTATAACTAATATAAGAAAAACTATATAATAAGTATAGTAACTCTGTATAAAACATACAGGCAATAAATATATCAACGTCTAGTCCATATGCATTTGACAAATTCATTGAAAATACTCTATTATCTGTCCTATCTTGGTGAGTCCAAAGTCTTGTACCTAATTTACTTTCTATCCTAACTTGCTTTCTGCATCTGGTAAACAAGAAAAACTATAACTGTCTAGTCTTCAACTCCCTCAGAGACCCAACAAGGAAATTATGTTAACTGAGTAAGCAGGATGTTCGAGCAAGCAACTTCCAAAAATTGTGAGAAGTGACAGAAAGAGCTGAATGCCTGGACAGTCACCCAAGGTTCCTCTGCTATGTTGGCCATCCATCTTTGGCCTACAGGCCTAGAATATCTGTCAGACTTTTCTATGAAGCAGGGTTTTTGAAGGACTGTCCTGCCGTGTCTGGGCAAGGTTTAGGAATCACTCTGTTTTGTGTCCTGCTTTTCCAATTAGGACAGCAACAGCAGACTGGTAGCAGTTGAGGCAAAGGCATTTTCTTGCCCAGTAGCTTACTTTTGCCACAAAGTAAACTCAATATGGAGTTTCTTTGATGTCCATCATCTTCCCTGAAGTAGTTTGGTTCTGCCAGGAGCAGACATGTCTCATTGTCATAAAAAAAAAAAAGAGCTGATGTTTTTAGAACATTTTAAATGCTATATTTTTTAGATCTCTGAAGTGAAAATGACCTGTCTATTTAAAATATATGTTTTTTGACCTTGAAAACATACTTAATGTGGCTACAAGTTCATTATAATAGGTGATTGGCTACTAACCTGCATTTCCTTATTATCCTAAACAGCTGGTAATACTAATTTACAAGGACTAGAAAGTTGCATTACATTGTTAAATGAGTTGTATAGGTACAGTGATTTGAACAAGAATAGAAATGTATGTATAGTGTGTTCTAACAAAATTAATCTAAAATTTGTATACAATATACAAAAGTCCAATCAAGTGTGCAACATTTAAAACTAAAAGTCGCTTTTTAAAAGTAGATTCAATAATCTTTTATTTATTTATTTATTATGTATACAATATTCTGTAGGCCAGAAGAAGGCACCTCATTACAGATGGTTGTGAGCCACCATGTGGTTGCCGAGAATTGAACTCAGGACCTTTGGAAGAGCAGGCAATGCTCTTAACCACTGAGCCATCTCTCCAGCCCCCTCAATAATCTTTTTATTTTATCATCTATATCCTCCCTTTTTTCTTTTTGGAGTAGATTCAGTAATCTACCCTTTTATTCTATCATATTTATATCCACCTTTTTTCTTTTGAAAACAAGAACCTTGAATCTAGTTTTCTTTGTTTAGCTTTTTTCCTGACCGTTACTAATAACAACTTGTAACCAATTCCCCTACATAGTGACAAATATCCATAACCCATTGAATGACCAAAAACTGCCCTCCACCTCTTGGGAGTGTGGGCGTCATATTCTTACATTTACTGCCTGCTGTCTGGGGGTGATGACATCTTTAGGGCATCTTGAAAAGAAAAATTTAGGTTAATTGTCAAGTCCTGGGAGAGGTAGCTGTATCATTTGTTGTCAAGTCTCTACATAATGGGAAAGTGCAGGGCTTGTCTCAAGTCCTGGCTAGAGTAGTCTGTTAGGCTGGATCATCTCAACTAGCCACCTCAAAATTGTTCTGAGCAGTTTGTAGTCCAAAGCTGGTCTTTAGGGGTGGTGTTTTTCAACTTGGTGGGATTATCATAGTCCTGGAGGAATTGTCATTGTGGGGCCCCATCCTCTTCTTGAAGACTTCAGAGGTTGCTGTTAGGTGTGCTCGTGGTTCACTATAGAAAACTGATAGCGACTCAAACCTGAAATCATGTACAGGGATCAAGATGAAACCTTTTCCTAAAATTAGTTATTACTCTATATATTAATATCATGACAGAAATTTTAATATATACACACACACACACATATATAATAAACACTTTTAAAGAACTTTTTATGATTTATTTTACTTTATTTTACGTGCAGTTTTGTGAAGTGTAACATGAGGGGGCCGGCTTGTTGGGGTATCTGTTCCCGCCCAGTACCCCACAGCCGGCAAGTCCCAGAGAAAATCAATCACACAGAGATCTCTATAAGTTATAAAGCTGATTGGCCCATTAGGTCAGGCTTCTTATTAGTTCTTATGACACATATTACCCCATTATCCTTATCTACGTTAGCCATATGGCTTGGTACCTTTTTCAGCTGGGCAAGTTACATGCTGCCTCTTCGGTGGTCTGCGCAGGAGAGGCGGAGGGAGCTTCTTCTTCCAGAATACTCCCAGTCTCTTTGCTCCACCCCTACTTCCTGTCTGGCTTTCCCGCCTATACTGCCTGCCTGGCCAATCAGCATTTTATTAAAATATGATTGACAGAATACAGACAATTCTCCCACACCAGTGAAGGTGTCAGAGCTCCTGGAACTGGATTTACAGGCAGTTGTGAACTGCCATGTGGGTACTGGGAATTGAACCTGGGTCCTCTGGAAGAGTACTCAGTGCTCTTAACCGCCAAACCATCTCTCCAGCCCAAACTTTTTTACCTTAAGAAAAGCAGATAAAGAGTCGTATAAAACCAAAGGATTATGAGTGGCCATAAAATAGTTTTTAAATTATTATCTTCTGTCCCATATCAGGTGACTTTTCTGACATGACACAGAGATTTTGGATTTCACTTTAATTTAATAAGCATGTTTGGGTTTAGAGAAGGAGAGAGCCACATTCCAACTCCAAAGCCAGCTTTAGTCTTTTAATTGGACTGGGACTACAAAAAAACCATTTGCATTACATGTCTGTAGAAAACAACAGAAATAAACATTTGGAAAGATATGTGAAATTTTACTCTGTTGGAAATGTGATGTACCAATAAGCCAGTTTACTCTTTCCTTGACATCTTTCTGGATGATTTGTCCTTTTTCTTCAGATGTCTCATTTGTCCAGTAGTCTTCAGATTCCTTAGCTGGATGTCTTCATTCTCCTGAAAAGATAAAAAAAAAAAAAACCCTTCTCCAACCCTAACTTTGTGGAGAGTCTCTTTTGGCAAATTATATCTGATCAAATGAAATACATTTGTTAGTTTCTTATGTAGGTTTCAATTAAACAACCATGGTACTTAATGAAATATCTTCTCTTGTAAATAAGAGTTGTCTCTTTTTCAAATTGAATCTTTATCAGTTTTGATGGTATCCATAACTTTTATTCTTCTGTGAAAACAAAAGCAAAACCCCTTCCCCAATGTAACATTATGTCCTGGTTTCCATTCTGAGGTTAGTACATGTTTAAAGTATATTGGCTGATATTCTGTAGTTTTTTCTCTGAGACTATCTAATGTCTCTCTGCAGCTGCTATTTCTTTAAAGCATTTGGAAAATTCAAAGTAAAGCATTTTGCAATCTATTTCTGGGGGCATTTATCATTCATGTTTGTTTATTTAACATATCCTATAGAGTTCAGTTTGATCTTTCTTTAACTGCCTACCCTGTAGGATTGTGTGGAATACCTGTAATGTGTATATTTTAATAAACAAAAAACTGTTTTTTTTTTTTTTTTTTAAGAGACATGCTGGAGCATTGTCTGTCTTTATTTGTACAGGTATACCCATGATGACCATAACTTCTAGCAAATGTGTGATTACCAAATCAGCATTTTCTGAACTCAAAGCAGTTGCCTGTTGAAAACCTGAATAGGTATCAGTCGTGGGTACATATTTTAGTTTTCCAAATTCTACAAAATGGAACACATCCATCTGCCAGTTTTCATTTCTTTGAGTACCCTTTGGGTTACTTACTGCAGGTGGTGGTGTTTGACTGTATAAAGAACAAATAGGTCATTTCCTTATAATGTCCTTGACTTGTTGCCACATGATAGAAAAGTCTTTTTTTAAACCTTTGTTATTGACATGAAATCCTGAGGCCTTCAGCACTTTTCCAATCAATAATTGATCAGTTTCCCGTATGGGATTAGATATGTGTTACATATATGGGATGATGCCTATTTCTGATTATATGTTTAACTGAGTAAATAATGAAGTCACTGTATCTTCTGGTATAAATTCAGCAGTTTCAGTATGCAAAACAACTCTTCCAGCTTGTTACGAATCAGTAACTATGTTGAGGTTCTTTAAAATCCCTAAGTACCATGAGAAGAACATATAATCTGACATTTGGACAGAATCATGAGGGC